CTCCCTATTAAACATCGTATAGATTTTAAGATCTTGCTAATTACTTATAAAGCCCTGAATGGTTTAGCTCCTCAGTACTTGAGCTAGCTCATATCGCATTATAGTCCTTCACGTCCGCCGCTGCAATCTCAAAACTCTGGCCATTTGATAATACCTAGAATATCAAAATCAACTGCGGGTGGCAGATCCTGTTCCTATTTAGCGCCCAAACTCTGGAACAATATACCTAGCGTTGTTCGGGAGGCAGACAAACTCTGTCAGTTTAAATCTAGATCAAAGACCCATCTCTTTAACCTGACATACACATAATACACTGTCACATTTCTACAATTCAAATCCGTTAAACTAATATTAGTCTGTTTCTCTCTTATTCCGAGGTCACAGGTAGCCATTTAAGCCTTTTGTTTTACGGGAACACAGGAAGTGTCCTCATAAACCATGTTTACATTGTAGAGTCATTATACAAATTTGTGTCCTCATAAACCATATATACCAGTACACACACACACACACACACACACACACGTTTACTTGGCTATCTAAATGGGGACATTACAATGACTTTTATTGTTTTTATATACAGATAGTTATACACCTTTTAACCTAAACCCACCCCTACCCCTCACAGAAAACATTCTGCATTTTTATCATTTAAAAAAAAGTTTTTTTTAAATATATTTTAATATTAAATATTTTTATACCAGTTTTACAAATGAGGACGTCCTCAAATGGAGGTTTTTGGCGATTTTGTCAGGTTTTGTTCACTTTTAGGTACAAATTTGTCCCCAAAATATGATTAAGTAGGTACACACACACTCTCTCTCACACACGTCTGGTGCACTATCCTTGTAGGGACTCTCCATAGGTGTAATGGTTTTTATACTGTACAAACTGTATTTTCTATCGCCCTACACCTAAACCTACCCTTTACAGGAAACTTTTTGCATTTTTACAATATCAAAAAAACTCATTCTGTATGATTTATAAGCTTCTGTACCCATGGGGACCTCAATTTAGGTCACCACGGTGCAGCACAAGCGCACACAGCAGGAGAGTGTGATTCACAAGCACAAACATTCCTTCCCAACATTCACACTCAGCATCCTTCTCACACTTCGCTCTCTAACTGAAGTCTTCCATCACTGCTGTGCGAAAGAGCGAAAGAGAGGCTGGTAAGATTTTACACTGGAAATTACAGCTTTTCACCTCAGGATTGGAGCTGAAGGCATTTGGCAGCTGGTGATTTGTTTTAAACCCTATGTGTCTCATGATTTGTCTAGAGACGATGATAATGAAGCAACACAAACACCATTCAGAGCTTTATACTGCGTAGTGTTTGTGAAATGCACATCGATCAAAAGTTTGGGGTAGGTATGAATTTTTTTTTTTTTAATGTTTTTGATGAAGTTTCTGCTCACCAAGGCTGCATTCATTTGATCAAAAATACTGTAAAAAATTGTGAAATACTATTACAAAGTAAAATAATGGCTTTCAATTTAAATAAATCTGAAAAACCAGGTAACTGCAACTTTTTATCCCACAATTTGAGACAAACTCAGAATTCTGATATTTCTTACAATTCTGTTTTTTTGTTGCTGCCACGAAATATAAAATAAAACCGGTAATTGTGACATTTCATCTCACAATCGCAAGTTTATAATGTGGAATTGCAAGACATGAACTTGCATCTCATAACTCACTTTTTTTTCTTTACCTCTCACTTTTTTCTATTTTGCTGCTGCCACGGAATAAAAAATAAAACAGGTAATTTTTATCTCACAATTCTGAATTGATATATCGCAATTCTGTGTTTTTTCTCAAAATTGCAAAAAATAAAAATAAAAATTGGAATTGTAAGATATAAAGAAACAAAATTTTAAAAAGCTGAATTTTCAGCATCATTACTTCAGTCTTCAGTGTCACATGATCTTCAGAAATCATTCTAATATGCTGATTTGCTGCTCAAGAAACATTTCTACAACATTAATATTTTTGTGGAAACTGTGATACATTTTATTTTTCAGGATTCACAGATGAATAGAAAGTTCAAAAGAACAGCATTTATTTGAAACAGAACGTCCGTCTGTGTGTGTGTGCGAGTGCTTGTGCATGTGTGCTTGTGCATGTGTGCTTGTGAGTGTGTGTGTGTGTGTGTCTGTGTGTGTGTGCGCGTGCGTGTGTGCGCGTGCGTGTGTCTGTGTGTGCGAGTGCTTGTGCATGTGTGTGAGTGCATGTGTGTGTGCTTGTGAGTGCATGTGTGTGTGTGTGTGTGTGTGTGTGTG